TAGCCCCACACCTCCCTCTAGCCCCAGCCTCCCTCTAGCCCCAGCCTCCCTCTAGCCCCACGCCTCCCTCTAGCCCCAGCCTCCCTCTAGCCCCAGGCTCCCTCCACCATGAGGAGCCTCTGTTATTAGCTCCAGCTGTGGCCTGCTGCCCCACCTGTGCTTTGTTAAAGTTTTGCAGAGTGCTCTCAGAACCCTGAAACTCATGGGCATGTGGGTGCTTGGGGACACCCATGGAGAAGGTGTGCACGTGGATCCGGCCCTCTGGCTGGGAAAAGCCCAACTTAAAGGAGAGGCAGTTCCAGTGGCTCCCAGGAGAGTGGGCAACGGCTCCAGGCTCTCAGCAGGATTAGAGAAGCTAGATACTTGGCGGGTTCCCTTGTGAAATACTTCAAAAGGACGTGAAGAGGAACGGGGGGCAGAACAGAACTACACGGTAGCCTTACCAGGTCCACTCATGGGAATTTGGAATTGTCCGCTAAACCACCTTGATTTTGGTTTTGACAACCCTGCCTCCTTGTGCTGGGTCTGCAAGTGCCTCAGATGCCACCAACTAGTGATTTGGCGTCTGAATGAGAAACGGTTACACCAAACCAGTTGCCATCAAGTCGACCTTGACTCATGGTGACTCCACATGTGTCAGAATAGAACTGTGCTCCATAGGGTTTTCCATGGCTGTGATCTTTAGGAAGTAGATCACCAGGCCTTTCATCCATGGCTCTTCTGAGTGGATTCAAACCACCAACCTTTTGGTTAGCAGCAGAGTGCTTAACTTTTTGCTCTGGGACTGTTATAAATTAAAACAGTTAGCTCCTTGACTGTTAACGCAAGAAGTTTCATTGTTTTATTTTCTTTAACTTAGTTCTGAGTCCTCCGTGCTATAGATCATGGGAAGTTCAACACCAGTCTCCACCGGGCTCCTCTGCATGCCCAAGATTGGGCAGAGGCCGAGCGTCTTACCATGAGGACTGGGGAGACCTGGGTACCACTGAACCACCCTGCCCGCTGTCTCGGGCGTTTCGAAGGCTGCTCTGTGCTTGGAGCAGGGGTGAGAGGGTTGGGAAGTGAAATATAGAGGCAACCAGTGTAAATTAATATCCCAGCAGTTACAGTAAAACCTGCGAAAGCCAGAACCTGCGTAAGACAGAAACCTGTCAGAGAAGGAAAACTCGAATATTTTCCACCAAAACGAGTGACAGAAGAGTGGTAAGACTATACCCTGTCAAAGGCGGAAAACTTGGGAGAGCTGCGGAAACAAGGCAGTCCCTTCGAGTCCCAGCTCTCCCAGGTTTCACTGTAACTTGACACACCCTTCGATCCATCGGGGGCCGCTAAGCTGCCAAGCCCTCTAGCCTGCGATTATTGCAAGCAGCAGGGACACACAGGTGGGGCGGCCGCCGGGTGAGGCCTTCCGCTCAGGCCGCCTGTCTCCGCAGTGCTCCTCGACCTGCGGGAAGGGCCTGCAGTCCCGCGTGGTGCAGTGCATGCATAAAGTCACCGGGCGCCACGGCAGCGAGTGCCCCGCCCTCTCCAAGCCCGCGGCCTACAGACAGTGCCACCAGGAGGCCTGCAACGACAAGATCAACGTGAACACCATCACCTCCCCGCGCCTCGGTGAGTGCCTCGGCAGCCGCCCGCTGGGGGTGGGGGAGGTGGGGGTGCGCCCCCTGCTGGCCGCGAAGTTATGTAAGCCAGAAAGCCCCCTTCTTCGCCTTATTTGAGCGTCAGAGGTGGAGTTTCATTCTTTGTCATGGAAAAGACATTTGCTAACTACACAGCAATACCTTGAGTGCCCCACTATCCCCTTCTATCAACAATAGGGGAACACGTAGGAATGTTCCGTAAACCTTTTAGGGTTCCTGTGAGTGAGGAGGAAACCCTGGTGGCGTAGTGGTTAGGAACTACGGCTGCTAACCAAATAAAGGTCGGCAGTTCGCATCCCCCAGGCGCCCATTGGAAGCTCTATGGGGCGGTTCTACTCTGTCCTATAGGGTCGCTGTGAGTCGGAATCGACTGGATGGCGGTAGGTTGGTTTTTTTTTTTTTTTGTGAGTGAGGAGGGCGGAGGGATGTGCTTCTTTCTGGGCGTGAAAGACGTGCCGGTGCTGTTCGTGAAACCTTGATGATGCCGGCAGGGGGTGGTTTTCGGCTGATACTTTAGAAGAGATCAGACATGTTAGACTGTTCGGAACATTTTAGTTCGGCAGGGAGCTGCCGTGTGAGCACCTGGGCCCTGGGTGCACCTGTCCCTTGACCAGTCCATGCCGTGGGCCAGTGCGGGCATGCGAAGAGGAGCATCGACTTAATATTGACCTCATGCTTCCTTTTAGCCAAGTGTCTGCTTTTCCAAATAGAAATCCTTAGGGACTATTTTCCCACCCAAAGCCTGTTTCCCTAACACGGGAATTACACGAGATGAAGGTGTTTCTAAGCAGCTTTGTGGGGCAGGGGGCACTTTGCGGTTGCAGAGATGTTCCTGTGGCTTTTCCAAGCACAAGCCTCGCTGGACTCACCCAGAGCCTCTAGCGGGCTCTTCTCTCTGGACGACCAAGATGCCAAGGGAGATTCAGGCCGTGTCCTCGCTCGCCACTTAGCTCAGGAGCACTGTGACCAGTGCCCTGTCCCGCACTGAGGCCGCCAGACCATTAAATCAGTCCCAGGGGTCAGGTTAGGCGCAAGGCTCTGTTCCCTGTAGCAAGAAAGCTGCCTCCTCCGTTCGCCTGGCAGGAGGCACAATTTCACCCGTTTTGACAAAGCTCTAGTGTGCGTGGTGGGTGAGGGGGATCCCATAGTGGACATCAGACCAAAGACCACGCATCTCTCAGCACGGGCTCCATGGAGGGCTACGGGTGTCTCTGATGCCCCCAGGCTACCCATAACTTGTGGGCTTTCTCTCCCCACTGTCCCGTAGCTGCCCTGACCTATAAATGCACACGAGACCAGTGGACAGTGTATTGCCGGGTCATCCGGGAGAAGAACCTCTGCCAGGACATGAGGTGGTACCAGCGCTGCTGCCAGACTTGCAGGGACTTCTATGCCAGCAGGATGCGCCCGCCACAGCTGCCACAGCCCAGCTCCTGATGCATGGCCCAGCCACGCTGCAATGCCTGACGGGAGGTCTGAGACCCAGTGCCCAGTGGGTCTCGGCAGCATGGCTTGGTGGAAGGCCACCCACCCACTCGAGAGCACACCAGCCTTGCGGCCAGTCCTCCCCCAGCACACCACACCCACCCACAGGCTGTCTCAACAATCCCACTGCATAGGACTGTAGAGTGGGCTTGACATTTGCCATTAACGCTTTGTCCTTAATATATTATTAATGGCCACTGGATGGCTTCCTGCAGTAAGAGAAAGTAGGCAAGAGTCACAGAGAATTAAAGTTTCTAAGATTCTGTGTACCTCAAAGGGGAACACCTCTGGAAAACAGTGGTGAAGAGAGAGCCATCATGTAGGGCTTCCATCTTGGCTGTCCGTAGACATTTGAATTCCCATGGGGGAACGGCCCCAAAATGAACCATCTTATATTCCAAGCAGCTTTATTCAGAGGGAAGGACCAATGGCGGCCAGCCTCTGCTAGAGGCTTCTCTGGATACGGAGCCCACACACGTCTTCATCTACCTTCCTGACCACACAAGAATCAGGACTTGGCCTCTCTACCCATCTCTGAAAACATATTGCTTTTTAAATCCTGGACCTTGCCTTGAAGTCTTGTTCTTGAGAGTCTGAATCTGTGTAAGCCAATAAGGACACCAGCGCCATGTAGTTCTCCACGGCCTGTGTGGGGGAGAATATTCAGGAAGGGTTTGGGGAGGCATCTTCATTTCAGATCTCTGCTGTCCACCTCGTAGGGAACAGGAGCTTTTCAAGGTGCTAAGATGCGTGCCATATGCTAATTTTGGAAGGGGAATTGCTTCCTGACATAAGGGTGAGCTCGGGGCAGCTTGTCAGGGGTACATGAGTCTCCTCCCCACTGCCTTCTGGGGGCCTCTGCTCTAGTAGTGCTTTGTAAAGCTTTGTACTTTGTAGATGCTGCATCACATCCCGGTGGCTTCCCATTGACCTTGGCCATTTACCTGAAACTGATTATCTTAGAACCTCTTAGAACCAAGCTCAGCCCTGGGCTGTATTATAGAAAGGCCTCAGTGCTTTATCCCGGCATGGGGCAGTTCTCTTCCTCCGGGGTCATGGAGGGGAGCTGTCTGGCTGGGATTGCTGCACACCTTCCGAGCCGTCGTGTAAACCAGACCACACTTCCCCATGATCCTCACGGCCATCATTGTTGCCCCATCTTCCAGGGGGGGCGAGAGTGATGCCCAGAGAGGATAGAGAAGGTCTCTCCTCCCTGCAGGCCCCTCACCACTCTCAACAGTGCTCTTCCCTCCCCAGCAGCCGAGGGAGATGAGGAAGCTGGCCTCTTTGAGAACACAGAAGATAGTGGGGCCCTGCTACCCAGGAGGCCAGGCTGGGCTGGGAGCAGCGCCCCGCAGGGCCATGAGGCCTGTTTTGCTCACCAACGTGGTGGGCGTTTCATGGGTGCTTATGTTCGAGGACGTTACCATGAGGAAGCCACCTTCTCCTTTATTTCAGACAGAGGGTCTCACTTAGGCTGATTTCCCTGGGGTCATCTCCAAGTGCTTTTTGATTTATTGGTGCTCTGTTTATGTTACTGTTTATGGTGTTTTGTTTTGTTGTTGTTGTTTGGATGTCACAACTTTAGGGTTAGCTTAAATCAGAAAAGAAAACAAAATCCTCTCTACCTTCTCCCCTGTCTCAGGGGCTATGTTTTTGTTTTTGATTTTTAATTCCCCAGAGGCAGAGAAGTGGTGGGATGTCAGGGAATTCTCTCAGTTTCACTTGAATCCACAAGCAGCTGGTGAGAAAGGCCCTCAGGTGCTCCAGGGAGGGAGCTGAGAGGATGTCAGGAAGCCAGCGGTGTAAGCCTGCAGTACAGTAACCCCCAGCAGCTGCCCGGGGCCTGTCCACATACACTGTCCTCTGTGGCCACGGCTTGGCCGCCCGCAGACTTCCCAAGCCCCCTCTTTCCACAAAAGCCTTAAATTCCCGGGGTGCTGGGTTTCCATTGTTCCCAGCTCCAGACCAGCTGTTGCTTCACCACACGACAACGAAAAGACATCAGCCTCTTGGGGCTGAGGAGCCAAGACGGGACTGCCAGGTAAGAGCCCCACACCAGGCAATCAGGTGCGTGTGCAGAGGTGGGTACTCTACCTGCTATTTCTGAATCCCAGCCCCTCCCCCAGCCATCCTGACAGTGTCAGCCGGCCTCCTCGGCCAGGACCGCACACCCTCAGAACGCAAATGACTGATCCCTCAGTGCCGAACACCCCTGCTTCCAAGCTCCTGCTTTTCTGAGCTCTTTGAACTCCTCCTAGCATTGTTGCTCTGAAATTCCTCAGCTCACTTGGATTGATTTTGGCAAAGCTGCCATGACACTCTTGTTCCACTTTGCACGGAGGACAGTGAAGCTCTGTGATTACAACAGTGACGTCTCTGCCTCGTTGACAATACTCTGTACTGTTACTCAAGTACTGTACCTTTTTGATTGCACAAATGTATTACTAACTGCAGAGTCTCACAACCTTATGGTACTATTTTTATTGGTGCAAAAGAAACCCTCTAGGTTGCCCATGGCTTGATATTCTCAGAATACAGGGAAAGATCCTCAATGGCAATAATATCATTGCTTTTTGTTTGTTTGTTTCGAAGTCAAATGTATATATTTTCCATTAGTTACCATACACTATGTACTGTACCCATGGTATTTTTATTTTACTTTTTGGTGCTGGTTTTGAAAGGAAAAAAAAAAAAAAAGAACAGAAGACAAACATTGGAAACCATTGTAAATGAAAAATTAATCATTTCACTGGAGGCAAGTTGAATATGTTTAATAAAATGTTTTTTTCATAACAGTTCTAAGATGGTCTGTGAGATACAAGACAAAAACCAGTCCTCGTGGGCTGACGGGGAGGCTATGTCCTTCCCTTCTGCAGTGCTCAGATAACTAGCCTGGACTCAGCCGGACGAGCTGCAGACTGACGGCCACAGTTGTCATCAGTGTCAGAGGCCGCTGGTAAATGCAGTTCTGGTGGCAGCTGGTCTCTCAACGATCATTCCATCCTGGGGCTCATGCTTGTGCTGTTGCAAAGTCCTGGGTGGACACATGACAGCGTGGCAGATGCACTGAGTCTGTGTGTCTGGCGTGGCCAGAGCAGCAGCCACCTTGCTGGCCGTCCCCATGGGGGTGCAGTGGCCCTCTGCAGGCAGCCCCTTGTACAGGGCTCAGTCTCAGTCATGGGCACCTGCTCCCTACACCCTTGGCCCTCCAACATTTAGCCCTCACCACCCCCTACCCCTGTCTACTGCAAGCCCAAGGAGGTCCTGCACCTCCCAGCCCACATGCAAAGGCACCGCACCATCCTAACTGGGACAGTTGCAACCCTTTGGACCCAATTTGGGCCTGACACAGAGCAGGGGTATCACAGCTCCTGAGGGGGTAGGAGGCATCAAGGAGAAAGAGCTTCCCACCCAAGAACTTGAATCCCCTTTTAATGGTGGAACCAAAACAGTTGCCGTCGAGTCAACTCCAACTCATGATGACCCCCAAGTGTGTCAAAGTAGAACTGTGCTCCATAGGGTTTTCAGTGGCTGATTTTTCAGAAGTAGATCTCCAGGCCTTTCTTCTGAGGTGCCTCTGGGAAGAATCAAACCTCCAACCTTTTTTTAGCAGCAAATATGTTAACTGCACCACCCAGGGTCTCCAATGTTGGAGCAGCACCCAGAAATTTCACTGGATAAAGACCATTTGTTTAACAGACAACAAACTGTCCAGCACTCACCAGTTGCCAGGAAACCTGCAGCTTATATTAAGTCTGAGGAACACTCACCCACCTGCCCCAGGTACCTGTTAGAACCTCTCCTCCTTCCTTTGTGTTCTAATCTCTCTGGTGGGTTAACTTTTTAACAGCCCTGTTGGTATATAATTTCTTTATGATCGTCTTTGATTCCTGGGTGGCCCTCAGCAATTCCACTTTGTTCGATGCAATTGACAAGCTCTCAATTAATAAGCACTGCGTGAACTTCTGTTAGGAGCCCAGCACTTCCTAGATGTGCTAGGAAGATCAAGATGTGCTCAGGAGAGGGAAGAGCAGAGCAAGATGACAAAGTGAGTGGATGCTCCCATTTATTCCCCCAGCAACTAACTCATTGAACAACAAATAAAAACAAGCACAAAATAAGATCTCAGAACTCCAGACAGCAGCTGAGGTGTTGGAGAGTCCGGGTGAGTCCAGAAGTGGAGGAGAGGAGGAACAGGGTCAGCACAGACGTCGGGAGATCCTACGCGCTAACATCGGGAGTGTTCACTCATCACGGCCATTTTGGGACATGGCTGGGTACAACCTTAAACAGGGAACACAGAAAAGGAGCTAATCTGAGGAAGCTCTAGCCCAATTTTTTTTTAAGGAGACTCAAATTGGCCGTGGGGTACACGGGCTGCACAGTTGGGAGAAGACAAAAAGAGACCGTGGCGCTGCATGAGAGTGCTGTTGAATCTCGCTGAAGCCTGGGACAGATGGATACTAGGAGTGGGCAGAACTGCAAGGGCATCAGGGTGAGGGGAATACTTCAGACTGACAGGGCAACAGAGAGGGAAGTTAATACATTTCCAAACAAACAGAAGATCTGGGAATTACTGCCAGACGAGCTTTGCAAGTATTGCTCAAGGAAATACTCAAAAAAGAAAGGGAAGAGCATTAAGAAATAAGTACAAAGTAAACTTACTGAATATAGGTTGAATATTGATGTTAATGGAGACACACCAACAGAAACGGGGGAAGGAAAAGCATAACAGGAATGGGTTTATTATGTTAAGGTTGTATGTTGCTGTTGTTCATATGTTAAAAGTTGTTGTAATTGTAAGGTGTGTAATGTACAATATGTGGTAACCACTAAGAAATCACCAGAAAAAACATTCAGAAAACAAGAAGGAAGATAACAAAAAAGATCATCACAAGAAAGCACCCAAATACAAACAAAAACAGAAAAATCAGAATAAAAAACAAGGA